GACGCCTCCGCTCGCGTCCGCCTGCACTCGCTTTCGGCGTCGCGACGTTCTCAGTTGATCCGCAGCATTCGCTCGCTCCGGTCCAGTGCACCTCTAGAACCTGCCTAAATTTTCAAACACGGAAACGAAGTCGCAAACAAATTTACAATTTCTCTTTTCACACTCATAAAAACAAACCCAAAGAAAAGTACGATTTCCTCACGAAAGACACTACAGCTAAACAAAACCCAATTGCTAACACCAAAACAAATTTATTAAAGCAAACTGAAAATTGTTAAATTTCAAACCTCCTTCCCTTTACTTTTATTTGCACGCGCGTTTCACGAGGAGATCCTGTGCGCTTTTTTGTTAATACGAGTAGACCCATAATATTTCTATTGTTGTTTGTTGTTGCACGAGTAAAATGCACGTCGATTAAGTTCCGGCCCATCGAAAGTCATAGCAAAGTTGTTTGTTGTTTTTTTAATTTCTGTTGAGACGCCGGCATCTGGTTTTCTTCAGTTCTCTTAGAAACTGGTAAAAAGGCACTTTTACTTATATTTTTTTTGTTCTGTTTTATTTTTATTTTTTCTATATTACATTTGTTACATTTTACACTTAAAGAAGAAATTGATTAAATATATTCAAATACGATCATTTATCAATGGCTTACATTCAATTATATAACTAGTCGTCCCATATTGAGCAATCAAATGAGTTCGATTATTTCGCTGCATTCGAGCTGATTGCCACGTGCATTCCTGTAGAATTTACATATGCAATTTGCATTTTGTTGTTGTCACTGCTGTTGTTTCGGTTCGTTCTTTCCGTAATCTGCAAATCATTAACTCATTTATAGTTTGCGTTGAAATCCGTTCGATTCTAGTGCGTGATTAATTAATGTTCGTAAATCCCGTTCTCTCTCGCCCGATTTCCGCATGAAATTGTCCGCAATAAATCAACAACAATATTAACAACAGCAGCAGGAACAACAATAATGATAATAACGGTAATAATTGTGTACGTGTTCTCATCGATGCGAGTCTTTCGGTTCGCAAATGCAATATATTTGTATTTGGCATGCTTTCGGCGCGAAATTAAATTTCGCCAGCAATTTAAAACCCGAATTTAATTTCACGTCGAGTCTATTACGTAAAATACGCACAACGGCGTTCCGCATGCTGCGAAATCTGCGTTGCCTTTTGGAACGGCCAATTGTTCCATCGCTATATTTGTGGATATAACACTCTATTTGTTTGTTTTTTTGCTTTAGCAATGCGAATTTCAAATGATTCAATCAACGTACAATGATTTCATCTGCGCGTTTTATGTATTATGCAATAAGTGTATTACGTTGTTTTTAACTTACTGCTTTTTTTACATTTTGATACTTAATTAACGTTTAATAATTGGTCATATCATAAATATTATTATAAACCAGTTAAAATTAATTGACAGAAAAAACACGGTTATAAATGTTTTTGTTTTTATTTATTAATGAAATTAATTAATTGGCTATTTAATTTCTAGAAAAAAACATGTAGTTTGTGTATGTAATAAGTAACATTTATAAATACAAACTCACATGATTTAATTTTCAATTGTTACGCAATGAAACATCTGCAATGAACTACTGAATTTACTAATTAATTATTGAAATTTTATTGAAAGTTGCAAATATTTACTATTACTTGAAATAAGAAAACACTCATTTAGTTAATATTTGCTGTTTGTTAATGGATGTTTATTTACTCGAGATAGTATGCTTTAGAGTCAGGAAATGAGTAAAAAATGTACATATTGTGGCGAGAAACGAAGTTAATGTAAGATATTGCTTATTGATTTATTAAATAATTTTAAAAATGTTATTATAAAAACTAATAATAAATTATTAAAAAAAAAACTATTGTATAAAGTCACCAAAATATTATTAAGTACATTTTGTTGTATATAAATCATAAAAAAATAAGAATAAATAATATTGAAAATATTTTTTACAGAAATAAAATAACCAAAGTTTCTAAACTTTTATGTACAAATTAATTTTGAGTTATAATCAAATGTAAAAACAATATTATTGAATTATAATAGAATTAATATATAAATAATGGTTGAAATAATAAAATTATTAACATTTATTACTTATATAATACTAAATATGCTCGAAAATAATTTTAAACACAAGACTTTAGTCTTCTATGTCGACGTTAAAATGTTCATGCAATTCTGGAAAACGTAACAGGTTTGGTTGATTTTTGTTGCGATGATTCAAATTATATAAAACTTATTTGAAAACCATGTTTACAAGTATCTATTACCTATATTTTTTTTGTTGAGCATATCTATGTTCCTTATTAATTGTTAATAATAATAATAAATATAACTGGTTATAGTGGTAATTGGTACTTGTGGTTCTACAAGTGTTTGTACGGACATAGCAAATGTATTTCAAAAGCGTGCCTTATTCTCATTTGATAGCAATATAGAAGTGTACGGTTACTTGTCGAGTAGCAGACCGAAACAAACATTTGAACTGTTTACTGATTGAGGATGATGGCACATTTCGCAGTACTTGACAAATACTTGTATTGTTTTGCATAGTGAGAGATTTTAGTAAATTGAGAAACGAAAAAACATATGTAAGTACGTTATATATAATTCTTGCAAATAATAGAAAATTTAAAATAAAATTTTAATTTTAATCGAATTCTTTCAATATTATATAATACGGCAAGTTGAAGAATTCTATCTTCAACTTGCCTTTCGATTCGTAATATGTTATTCCAGGAATCACTTGTTTTTTGATTCAATAATTTGATGAATATTCAGTGAAATTCACAGTTTCGCAGAATTTTCAAATTAATCCTCGACTATAGTCATATCGATTCAATTACATTGGTAATTTGTATTGTATGTCATGTCACGTCGACATTTGTATTTATATGTATAAAAAAATATACATTTATATGTATATATTTTTCACAATTGGTATATTACAAAACAAATATTTAATATTTTCATCATGAAAATACAATAATTGCAAAATCTCTTTAAATACTATTGGCAAAACAAACGTCATTTTTATTATTATTAAATATACTCGGTCCTCTTTTTATGCGTTTTTGAAGTTATGCGGTGTTTATTTCAAGAAGCATTTTTTTAAATAACTATTTTAGGCCATTTTGACACGTTTTGACACAAATTGGCAAACTATTTGCATTTCTGGATATCAGGAATTGTACAAAAAAATATCAAAGCCATCGCAAAGTTTAATCACTGATTATATTGTCAAAGGGAAAAAATCAACATGCGAAGTTGAGATTAATTTTACTTGTGAAGAATCATTATTTTCAGGACATAGATCTGATATGCTGACTATCTCTTCTAGTGATGAAAGTGATTTCGAACCAGTTCGCAAATTATGCCGAACACACTCATATAGCTACGATAATTCTAAAGAATAAAATGTGAAGAAAGATTAACTTTCTTAAAAAAAAATATTGTAAAATTTTTCCATTTAAATTTAGAAGGAATATGTTAAGATTATATTTTTCTGAAATTTAATAAACTTGTCTATGATTGTTGACGTTTTTATAAAATTGTGAAGAATATAGTAAGACTAATTATTTTTCTGAAATTTAATAAACCCTTTTTATGCGATTTTCGGTAAATTGTAACTTATTGATTTAGTTTTATGCGGTTTTAAAAAATTATGGAACGTATCCTTTATTTTTATACGTGTGTCTAGTCCTTTTTTGTGCGATTTATTTTTATGCGTTTTCCTGTGGAACGTATCTACCGCATAAAACGAGAACCAAGTATATACTATGTGCCATGGTGTGGTTCTTTAATAAATGAAAATATATTAAAGTGGCTCTATAGTATATGAAAAACTGGAATGCGGCTCTCATTGAACTCATCCATTCGTGTTATATATCATGGAGAGCCATAGTTACCTACCTGAAAATATTTGGAACGCATCTAAAGTTTTTGGTTTAAAAATCTGAATCATATGTATAATGTAATACACTGTTTTCATCAAAATGAATGATTTGCAAATTTTTACAAAATACGAATTATGTAAAGTATTCAATTCTTCAAAATAATAGTTGATTTAAAACCGGAAGAGTTATTTGAGGCATTAGAAATTCGCTCAACTTTATTAAACGCTGATGAATTGTGCTAGGATCCAACTATGCGAAGTGCATCTCTAGACAAGAATGAATTAAGACCCTTAGAATTTACAGTTTGCTATTAACTTCTACTGAATACAGAATACACTCAAGTAATTTACAACTATTTTATAATACTATTAATTTTGGATAACTATTTTATACCAGTATTTAGGTTTTTTTATCAACATAAAAATCCTTCAATTAATATATATCAAACGTTCAGAATTTCATCAAAATGAAGATATTATCGATGTTTTTAAATTTATTACACACATGCTTTGAGTATTTGCTATTAAGAACCTATTAAAGAATGCAAATAAATAAGTCTTAACTGCGAAATGCTACTTTATTGTAAAAATAATGCAAGTAAGAGTATGTGTTATATACAAATTCGTGAATGAAACGGCATTAGTTTTCTTGCATTTCTATGCTAAAGAGTGGTTATTAATGGATGTGGTAATTAAAGTATTACTAGAAGGATAATTATGAATCACTTTTAATTATACAAAATAACCAATTAATTAATTCATTATTAGTAATTGTAAATATCTATATAAATATTTTAAACAGTAATAAGTAAATGATTGATTATTTTATTGGTATATATTAAATTAAAGAACATATTAATTTTATCTATAAAATATTTTCTTGCATATTGAATTTTTTATGCTGAAAACGTGTTGATCTTATTTTGCTTCAAAATAATGTTGGTGAAAATCAATATCTGTTTCATATGCAGTAAATATGTCTGGTTTGATACAAAATTGCTTATTCATAAATAACAGTTAACGTAAATGACTCGTGAATATGACATTAATCGTAGTCCTACTTAATTTCTAATGCAATATCATGGCCAACGTGTTAAAAGTTACCACATCTTTATGTAATATATTATGGAAATAAACGGTAGCACAAACAACGTGATTCCTGCTAATTATAACTATTATGTTGTTAGTTAAAAACAGAGAAAATTACGATAAGCAAACAAGTTTTAAACAACTTCTTATATAAAATCGGAAACTTACAGGAAGTGAATCGACCCAAAGCGAGTTTCAAATGTTTACACATGTTTTGCTTCTCAATACGAAGACATTTAAATTGTGGGTATGTAACTTAAAACTTAAGTTTTCTATGTATATATTCATTGAAATACACCTAAAGTTATTTTACATAGGCGTGTATATACGTATTTAACTAAATAAGAAATGGAAAAGTTAATATAATAGATAGGTAAAAAATAAAATGCATAAGATTTACATGAATTATACACTAAAACATGTTTATATCCATATTCCTTCGTCCTTATCCCGGTTTACAAGATTTACAACTTGAATTTTAGTATCCAGAGATGATTGTTTATGT